TATCTAATCTCGAGATTAAGAAAAAGAGTGGATTAAGCCTTAATCCCGATATCCACCATTCTAAAGCTCTGGAAGCATAAAGAGAATCTAAAGAAACCACATGTAAAAGTTTTTTTTAAACAAAAATATTGGTATCTACAAAACTGCTTGACCCCATTCATGAAACCGGGATTCTTATTCTTATTTTATTACGATACTCTGATGTTTAGGGCTCTACTGTTCAGTTTGTACAGTGTACTTTACTAAACTGTACTTGTCCAATGTACATGTATTCTTCACTGTACAGTGTACATTTTGCATCATGCAGTACTATACAATGTACATGATACAATGTGTCTACAGCGTACAACGTGTATTTCAATTATTATTATGTATAATATATGTCGTCTTTAATCAATCTACACAAATGTAATCCATCCAGATCACTTATTCATTCTTCATTCATCCATGCATTCATTAATTCATCCTTCTATCTAAATCCATCCAACAAACTGATCATGTTCTTTGAAAAAATATTTCTAACATTAAATTGTTGTGAATTAAAGAAAATACTAGATATATGATATATTAAAAATTAAACCCTTAAAAGCGCATGTTTTCTGTGTTCATATTTCTTTTCAATAAAAACGACAAAATTGGCCAAAGGGGGGGGTTGTAGTATTTTTCTGTAAAATTAACTAAACATAATTTTGTTGTAAAATTGAATTAATAAAGTATCAACCCTAGCATACATTAGTTTATTAATAGTGCCAAACCTAAACTGAAAGAGTTAGTTAGTTAGTTAGTTAGTTAGTTAGTTAGTTAGTTAGTTAGTTAGTTAGTTAGTTAGTTAGTTAGTTAGTTAGTTATTACAACGCTACCCTCAAAAAGGAATAATTATATATATTCATGTTTAAAATTTTGAAAGCTAACTATATATTTTAAAAATGAAGTTTCTCCGCAATATTAATAGTGCCAAACCTAAACTGAAAGAGTTAGTTAGTTAGTTAGTTAGTTAGTTAGTTAGTTAGTTAGTTAGTTAGTTAGTTAGTTAGTTAGTGCATCATATTCAATTTACAACGCTACCCTCAAAAAGGAATAATTATATATATTCATGTTTAAAATTTTGAAAGCTAACTATATATTTTAAAAATGAAGTTTCTCCGCAAAAGTGACTTGCGAATTTTTTCTACAGGAAAAAATGTAAGAATTATTAGAATTAATCACTTCTCAAACTAGAGAATCGACGTTATCTCATTAATCGGATAAAGGTTTCAAGGGGACCATTGTTGGTCATATACCCCTCGTATTTAAAAGAAGGGTCACTTGAAATTACGAGAACAGTCCCTTTATTATTTGTTACACTGTCTGGAGATTCTTCTATAGGCTACTAGCTGAAGGGCCTGGCGTTGCCCGTGTAATGAAAAAAATTGAAAAATGAAATTTCGATTTTTGAAAAATTAAAATTTTAGAATTTGTCTAGCCTAAGTTTGGAAAAAGGCAGCACTGAGCAGGAATTTAGGAGAGTATCCTTGAACGAAACAAAGTTTAATCTGGGCAGCACTGAGCAGGAATTTAGGACAGTATCCTTGAACGAAACAAAGTTTAATCTGAGCAGCACTGAGCAGGAATTTAGGAGAGTATCCTTGAATGAAACAAAGTTTAATCTGAGCAGCACTGAGCAGGAATTTAGGAGAGTATCCTTAAATGAAACAAAGTTTAATCTGAGCAAGCACTGAGCGGGAATTGGGTTTCATTACGATACTTGTAACTATGTCTTCAGTTTCGGGCTCTGAGTGTGATTTAAGTCCATAAAATCATGGAGGGAGTTAAAACTACTCAATAATTCCGACAGAGGTCGGAACTGTTAATGTTAGATGTCCTTTATCTTAAACTCTTGATCTCGAAATCCAATGTGGGCACTTTCTTATTTCAGGATCCGTGCTTGATAACTCAATTAAAGTTCTTCCTGCAGGGTATGACCACTACGGGATATTCTTGCAGGGTATGACCATTGCGGGATATTCCTGCAATGTATGACCACTACGGGATATTCCTGCAGGGTATGACCACTACGGGATATTCCTGCAGGGTATGACCTCTGCGGGATATTCCTGCAGGGTATGACCACTGCGGGATATTCCTGCAGGGTATTATAACTACGGGATATTCCTGCAGGGTATGACCTCAACGGGATATTCCTGGAAGATATGACCACTACGGGTAACTGATAACCAGAAAACTCTGGAATAGTAAGACGAATTTTAGAATCAATTTTTAACTTTAAAAGTTCAATGACGACGAAACACAGCAATTGTGCAGTGCAAAAAGACCCATTTTACAAAATAAGTGATTTTACAAGTGTCTGGTAAAACCATTTGCTTTGTAACACCATCAAATGCACGTAAGTATTGCTATAATGTCGTCTTCCTATTCCATTGTTATCTGGTTATCACTGTATGACCACTACAAGATATTCTAGCAGGGTATTACCACTTCGGGATATGCAAGATTACTTAAATTATCCGTATATCTCTGTATAAGATAGAGATATACAGAGATATATCCGTAGATCTCTGTATAAGATAGAGCTATATAGATATCCGTAGATCTCTGTATAAGATAGAGATATATGGATATCCGTAGATCTCTGTATAAGATAGAGATATACAGAGATATATCCGTAGATCTCTTAATAAGATAGAGATATATAGATATATATCCGTAGATCTCTGAATAAGATAGAGATATACAGAGATATATCCGTAGATCTCTGTATAAGATAGAGATATATAGATATATATCCGTAGATCTCTGTATAAGATAGAGATATATAAAGATATATCCGTAGATCTGTATAAGATTGAGATATATAGAGATATACCGTAGATCCGTATAAGATAGAGATATATAGAAATATATATCCGTAGATCTGTATAAGATAGAGATATATAGAGATATATCCGTAGATCTGTATAAGATAGAGATATATAGAGATATATCCGTAGATCTGTATAAGATAGAAATATATAAAGATATATCAGTAGATCTGTATAAAATAGAGATATATAGAGATATATCCGTAGATCTGTATAAGATAGAGATATATAGAGATATATCCGTAGATCTGTATAAAATATATATCCCAAGATTCACACCCAGTGAGTTCTAACTTTAGATCAATTTCCGCAACAAAGTTTTTTTGCCTACAGTTTTTAAATTGAATAAATTGAAATGTGCGCAACCAAAGTAATTAAGTCTAAAGTAGATTTACAGCAACATCAAATGCACATGAAAACCGATTGCTTTAATGTCGTCTTCCTATATCACAGTATTATGGATACCACTGTAAATGATTCTGATAAATTTGCAATATTCTGATAAAATTTGCAAGATTCTGATAAAATTTGCTATATTCTGATAAAATTTGCAATATTCTGATAAAATTGGCAATATTCTGATAAAATTTGCAATATTCTGATAAAATTGGCAATATTCTGATAAAATTTGCAATATTCTGATAAAATTGGCAATATTCTGATAAAATTTGCAATATTCTGATAAAATTGGCAATATTCTGATAAAATTTGCAATATTCTGATAAAATTGGCAATATTCTGATAAAATTTGCAATATTCTGATAAAATTGGCAATATTCTGATAAAATTTGCAATATTCTGATAAAATTGGC